AGACGAGACGGCCGAAGCGAGGAACTGCTGGAACTGGAAGATTCTGGAAAGCCAAGGCCTGCCCTAGTGGAACAGCCCAAGCCCGGCTCAACAAACTTCGTGACCCCGCGCGGCTGGGTCGCGCTCGCGGCCCGTGGCAGGGTGTGATGGGCCAAGGTTGTGGGCTGCTCTTTTAACCTTCTTTTAAAAATGTGAAATTATTTGTCTATACTCGTAGGGTCCCTTTTCCATGGTTACTTCTCTCAAGCAATTGCTACGTACATTTCTTGCCTTTCAGCTTCTGTCAATTTTCTACGTCATGTGCATTATTTTCATTTGCATGTACATCTTCAACGAGTCCTCCAACTAATCTGCATCGAAGGCTATCTCCATAGCAGCAGTGCACACACCATAATCATGCATATCCTCAATCTTGTTTAAAAAAATCATGTGAGGTAGCAATACCAAAATGTTTTTGTGACTCTTGGCCAAAAAAAAAAAAAATCCGTCCTTACTGGAGATACAAATATTTATATATGCAGTATTTGTAGTGCTTTGTACCTATAAACATCACCTCTTTATTATTACTAAGCTAATGGCCCCCTTGTTCCTTTTCAGGTTGTATTGTTTCTTTGGTTTGGATTATATTATTGCAAGGTCAGTCTTGGTATGCTATACTAATGGCTTTTATTCAAGAGACCCTTTAGTTCATTTTTTCAAATGCATGTAGTTTTTTTTTTTGAACTTTCAAATGCATGTAGTTTATACAAGTTATAAATTTTACAGTAGCTCTGGGTGATAGTTTCCTATGTGTAAGATTCCAGACAAGTATTCAGAAAAAACACTGCAAGTAGTATACACAGAATGTATACCAAGTAGTGTTAGGAAGACATTAAAGATTACTTACACACACAATGCACACCAAGTACTGTTAGGAAGACACTGGAGATTACTTACACACAATGTACACCAAGTAGGGGTAGGAAGACACTGGAGATTACTTACACACACAATGTACACCAAGTTGTGTTAGGAAAACGCTGGAGATTACGTGGGTGATATAATGCTTCTCTTGTTGTAGCTATTAGCTTAGATCTCTAAGTCCTAAGCTATGCAAATCAAGTACTTCAACTTTCGAAATGTATACGGAAACATGAGTTAGTGACAAGAGAGAATTCTACGTGAAAAAATAGACAAAGATTGACCATTGCATTATAGGTTTCACTAAAATTGAATCTAATTTGCCAAACATTTTACCAAGTATTTAACGACTCTATTTCTACATGAGTTTTAAAAATAAGCTAAACACAACAACTCATGACATTTAGGAAAAATCTCTTAAGTGTCTAGTTTACTCAATGTACTTATACAAAAAGTAAGTAAAAAAGGTTTCTAAGTTGGAGTCAAATTCATTTGTTGCATCACCAACAAGAGATGCAACAAGTTACCAGCGCGCCAGGGACATCGATGATCCTCTCAGATCACTCGTGACTGTAGCGTGGACACTAGACAATCTCCATAGTTTTTTTCTTTTCTGAAACAATCCATAGAAATATTGAAAGCAAATCTAAGCGCAAATGCGCCATCCACAACCGTTTTCTCTCGGAACAGAGCAGATAATTACAGGCACGGCATATTTGTCAGAAACACCACAGTTCAGAGGGCTGCATAAAACATGATCACAAGAACCGAGTGCATCAAGCAGTCACAATCCTGGTCCACTCATCCAGGCAGCTCCTCGTCGTGGTTGAGATTATTTGATTCAACGCCGTAAGTTAGCACTAACAATCTCCAGGAAAAAGAACGTACGTATTCTTCAGTAGACAGATTACCACAGGCGAGTGGCGCCGTACGCCAATGACCACGCTGCACGGATGGGCGACGAACCAACCCACCAGTCAGGCGGTGGGCTTGCGGTGGAAGCCCTCGTCGAGGGCGACCGGTTCGGCGGGGGAGGGCACAACGGCGGTGACGGCGGCGGCGGGCGGGCCCACGGGGATCCGCAGGGACACCATCTCGTCGACCTTGTCCGGGTCCCCGGAGAGCAGCGCCTCCACGGTGCCGTCGCGGCGGTTGCGGACCCACCCGGCGAGCCCCAGGGAGCGCGCCGTCTCCACGGTCCAGTCCCGGAAGAAGACGCCCTGCACGCGGCCCTTCACCACCACGCGCACCGCCTTGGTGGGAGAAGACTGCTGCGGCGTCGGCGGGTCGCTTGGGCCGCCCGCGGATGCCGCCGCCATGGCGCGGCGGGGTGCGGTGGCGGCGGCGAAGGGGCGGAGGAAGCGGGGGGCCGTGGCGGAGGCGGAGCTGGAGGGGAACATTCTGGAGCAGGCAAGGAGAATGCGAGGCGATGCGATGCGATGCGATGGTTGGACCATGGACTGATTCGGATTCGGAGCCAAGGCTGAGTCTGAGCGATCTGGTGGCCTGTGTCGAGGTAGCCCACTGGACCGAAGCAACACTTGAGTTGGCCTCAACCCCGACGTAGATTTGTTTGGTTCCGCCGCATGAACTTTAGGGGTCGTTACATCGAATCTTTACACATACAATTAGAGTATTAAATATAGATTAATTATAAAACTAAATATAAAGATTAAAATTAATTTGTGAGATAAATTTATTAAGTCTAATTAGTCTATGATTGTAATTTTTTTTATTATCTGAACACCCCATACGACACCCCATATAATATCTGATGTGACACCTCTTAAACTTTAGCCCCTACATCCAAACACCCGACACTTCGACATCTAGGATAGTTGTATTTTTTTCAAGGATCTTCTTTGTATTTTTTCCTTAGGATCTTTTTTTTTTCCGTGACGCATGTGTATCTCAAAACGCTCTTAGCGTAAGAACTAGATCAGGCATCTCGACCCCTCTTAATAGTATGGTGGAAGAAAAACAATGGCCTATACTACTCACAAAGATCAAGTTTGCACTTAGAAAAGATAGTGTCCTAACCTTAGTATCCTTTGGTCCAATTAATATATAGAATCTGAAATCTATGGCCAAGAATACCATGTACCATGAATATCACTAATAATAGTCATTACCCCCTGTAAAATACACATTAGTTATATAGTCTTGTGTTCATCAATCATTCATACAGACATATATTCATCAATCACTGAAACCAAATTTAGGGGTTCAATGTGTTCACACTACCACTTCGCTAGCCAGCCGTCTTAATCTCAATCGCCGCCACCGCTAACCTCGAAGCTCCCTTTAGGTCTATCGAAACATGTATAACTCCTCCAAACCCTCACCCCCTCTCCCCTACCCCACCCACCCACCCTAATAGGTCACCAGCAGAGCTCACAACAAGTAGAGAAGAAGGGGAACTTGGCAATTAAAAAATTGGATGTGGGTAAAATGATTTCACCCAGATGTGATACAGCAAATTTGTTTTCATTAATATATGTTGTTGATATGTGAGCATCACTTAAAGCCACAAGTCACATCTGAATCCCTAATTTTTTATCCCATGGACCAAAAACCAAGTGTCAAGAAACAGCTAAATTCTATTGCTTGTCGATCAGATTTCAGAGTGTTTGGACCCTATAAAATACTCACTCCATCCACACAAGAATGCAATTTTAACACAGTACCATATCAAAGTATCTTGACTTTGACTAACTATAAATAAAAAATAAATATTTATAATATCAAATAAATATCATTAGATTTATCATGAGATATATTTTTATACTACACTTATTTGGTGTCATAAATATTAATAGTTTTACCTGTATATTTGGTCAAGCTTTAGACATGAGAACCAAGAATGCATCTAGGATTGCATTTTTTGTGGAGAGAGTACTTGAGTGTCACATGCCTTCAAAAACATGAGTTTCAGATAGGCATGTCCTAAAATTGCCATTGCTAAATTTGGTCAAAATTTCTTAAGTGTTACAATATCATGAAATATGATTTGTCACTTTTTATTATAGATCACAATTTTGTCACCAAGTATTTTATGGTTCTACATAGATGTAAAGGCAGTTAGAATTGCATCTCAATGACCTATCGAAGATTAAGATTTTTTGTAAAGGTATTGAGTTCAAACACTATTTATTTTAGTTTCTTATTTGTTTATGCACAAATGTACTCGCAAATTTGCTAAATCAAAAGAAGAATTTAATAGTCAGTATTACAATATATTTAAACTACATCGTTACTAGACAACAAACATCCTTTTTTGAAACTACAACAAACTACATCATTACTAGACAACAATGCTAACTTTGTAGTACATATATATGTAGTACACAACAAACAGAGCTCACATGATCAATAGTACCCAAACAAATCCTCCTTAACTTTGCACGGGTGTTTGAATTTCTCTTATGGTCAAAATTTAACAGAGCTATTCTTTTAGTAGTAGAAAATGTGCCCATTGACAAAAACGGATAGGTCTCACTGTCGGCTTAGACTTTCGAATGTGCTCAGATCAATAGGCTTTACCTGCTTGTGTTTATAGAGGTAAGTGTGTATGCATATTTATGAGTACCTTTGTATGTACCATTTAATTTGGAAAAGAATAATTTTATTTAACTTTCCATGAAATATGTCTTGATAATTTATTTGAACTTGTAGATATTATTGTATTTTTCTAAAAAACCTGGTCAACATTAAAGGATTTTGACTTAGAACAAAACTAAGGTGACCTAGAATTTGGAATTTACAATGAAGGGAATACTTGTTTATGTTACAGTTGTTTTTTTTATCTTATCGGATAAGTTTTTAATACTGATATAGATTACACACTCTATTTGTTTGACGTTCTTGTTTACGGTACTCACAAATTTGCCAAATCAAAAGAACTTAACAGATAGGTGGTACGTACGATACATTTAAACTACAATGCTACGACACAACAAACGAAGCTTCCTTTGTATACAGAAGATATACATCACACAACACATGTGCAATAATGGTACTCAAGTAGTTGCATTGGTAAGGTTCTCCGATTAGATATCTTTCCAAAGAAGAAAGGACCCTCTAAAACTTTCCATGGGAGTTTATTCTGTTCCAGCTATCTTTTTCTTCAAGGTCTCAATGTCGGCGGCCAACTCTTTCCTGCTTTCCTGTAATTGGAGTAAAAAGAAGAACCAAAGACATTTTTATGTAAGAGAGCTCCTTTGTATAACGTAGAGATGCACGTAGCAGAGCAGTTCAAGATAAAACAGCTAAGAAATCTGAACAAGATTAAGACAAGTGCAAAAGAATTTTATGTCCACGCTCTCTATCTCGGTTACCTTGAAGAGGAGGTAGCGGTACACGAACCAGCCGGTGTAGCCGAGCCCAACGAGCTCCAGGATCTTGGGGAGCTGCTCAAGAACACCACGGCCGGTTAGCGCAATTCAGAGCAGGATTCGACTGGAATAATAGCCAGTGTCCCCTCACGGACACGGACACTACAACTACATACCAGCGGCACGGCGTTGATGGCGCCGACAACCACGGACGTCAGCCAGAGGGCGACGATGGCGCCGCCGCCGTACAAGAGGACGGTGGGCTTGTCCTCAACGGCGTCCCACTGCAAGTCAAAAGTCAAAGCAAGGTTGGCGCACAGGGATGAGGTTAAGAAGGCATGCGCGCATTGCCTGATGGCGAATAGATACATGTCAGATATGTGGACGGCCGGCAATTGGCATGTACCTTTGCTTTGAGGTCCTCGATGAGCTCGTCGCCGGAGGCCGATGTGTCCTCGGACGCGGCCTTCGCACGGAGCAGGGACAGCCTCGGTGCATCTGCAACGCCGTCAGATGAGCAATCTGCTGTGACGAACGAAACCGGTTGAGCTTCCTAGGTATTACCTTGCAGGCGAAGCTGGCAGACGCTGCGCCGAGGGAGGAGGGCGGAGCGCGGGGCGGCCGGCAGGCGTGCGCCGCCGAGGAGCGCCACGGAGTACGCCGTGGCCGCCATGCCGGTGCACCAGCTCACTCTTATCGCTACGGCTAAAGCGCTTCTCGGCCTCTCGCTCTCTTTGTGGTGTGCTAGCTATGCGCTGCTATGGACCAAAGTGGAACGGTTATTGTGCACGTAGGTCTCGCCCGTGCCCTGCTGTGTCCTCTCGCCCTGAGTGGTGAGTGCACACGTGGCCATATGCTTGGCTGTGATTGGCTGCCTCCCTATCCTGAAAATCCATGTATGGCCTCTCATTCCAGGGACTGGTTGTACTAGAACGGCAGGCCCACCGAGGGACTGTTTCTTAGCTTCAAGACTCGTGTACTAGAACATAACATCTAACAACCAGGAAAACGATTCGCTCATTCCTAGCCCTATTTGAATGGACTATGATTACTCAGGGCAGCTTTTTGATCTTGTTTGCACCCGGAAAAAAAGCTGCCCGGAGGTAAAATAGCCACCTAAAAATTAGTCAAGTAGTTATTATTCCATACCTGTTTTCATGAACTGATTATTAGGTTTTATAGATTAGAACTAGTTGTTAGCCCAGGATAACTGAGATTTATGGACTAGTGAACTAACAACTAGTTGGAGCTTTGGCTAAACTATATCCCACCAATTAGTCCTCTTGTTTGGATCCTCAAAGGCTAAAGTTTAGCAAACTAGTTGTTAATCAAGGGATTCAAACAAGACCTTATGCAAGCTTATAAAAAGAACGCAGACGGTCGATCGAACATCTTGACATGCTATTGCGCGGGCTCGGGATAGAAGATCACCGAGGCTAAGTCTAGCATTTTTTTTCTCAAGCAATATAGATGTTGATGTTAAGCTAGAGGTGTGCGAAGTTCTTAATATCATGACAGAAACACCAAATGACAAATATTTCAGAGTGATTGTTTTCGGCATTTCATTGACAGAGTAATAACTAGAATTATTGGGTGAAAGAAAAAATTGCTAAGCATGGGAGGGAAGGAGACTCTGATTAAGTCCATTGCTCAAGCTCTACCGATATATGCAATGATGGTCTTCAAAGTTTCGAAGAAAATTTGCAAAGGAATAACGACGGCCATCTCCTAATACTGGTGGGGTGATGACGGTGAACATAGGAGGATTCATTGGCAAGAGTGGTGGAAGTTATGTATGCCGAAATGCAAACGAGGCATGGGTATCAGAGATCTGCATTCTTTCAATCTAGCAATGCTAGCAAAGCAAGTTTGGAGATTACTCGGTGAACCAGACTCTTTATGTGCAAGAATACTCAGAGCTAGATACTATCCCGATGGAAGGCTTCTAAAGGCGAAGGTGATGTGTGGAAGTTCTTATACATGGCAAAGTGTGATGGCGGGGCTAGAATGTTTCAAGAAAGGCTATATCTAGGGAGTTGGAGATGGAACTCAGATAAATATCTAGGAAGATCATTGGATACCAAGGTGGCACAATTTAAAAATCTTAACGCCGAGAGGTAACAATATTATCAGAACTGTTGATGAGCTCATAAACCCAATTAATTCAACATGGGATGCAGATTTGGTGAAGTCCATCTTCTGGGCAATTCGTGCCTCAAGGATTTTACAAATTCCAATTACTATAGGAAGTGAGGATTATGTGGCATGGCATCACAACATAAACGAGCTATTCTCGGTCCGCTCAGCGTATCACTGCCAATGAGAGGAGACATATGGGCGAAGAAATTACTCAATGCAAGCGAGTTGTGCAGGGAGGAGTCAAGTATGGAAGAAGTTGTGGAAGCTGGAGGTTTCGGGGAAGATAAAAATCTTCGGATGGAGGGATCTCCTCGGTCTGATTCCAGGCCAAGCAATTCTTACCAATTGCCATATAGGAAATACAGCTGCCCTATGTGTATGAATGGTGCAGAGGATATCAAACATATATTTTTCTTATGTAAAAACAAAAAACTCGGGAAGCCAAATTTTTGTTTTTAGCCCCTTTTTGAAAGTTTTTCACAAATATGACCCTGGAGGTATGCTTTCAAAATCTGGACCCTTAGCTCAGCGCCATCGTTGGTGGCGCCGAGCTTTACATCTCGGCGCCATAGATTTTGGCGCCTAAGTCTTGGGCTCGACGCAGACGTGGCGGTGACTTGGCAGGCACCTTGGCACCGTAGATCTTGGCACCAAGCTTGGCGCCGTGGTTATTGGAGCCGAGGTGGTGTTTTAACCCGGCGCCCAACCTTCCTGCCCGAGCCTTATTTCTCTTCTTTCTCCTCCCTCTCGGGTTTTTTCTCTCCCCACTTCGCACTACCTCACGAATCGGCATATTGGACCTTGAAAACTTTGATTGGATCCGTAGATCTTTGAGAGCAAGGTATCCTCGCTCCCTCCTAGTTTTTTTCAAATTGATTTGGTATATATTAGTCGGATTTTTCAACTTAAGAATCGTCATTACTTAGGGTTTCATGTAATTTTAATATTTATATTATACAACCATAGGATGCCAAGACGTGGAAAAACTACCAAACCAAGGTAACCTCAGCGCACGTTGTTATGATATGGGTTCATTGTTGTGAATCAAATGGGAAACCCTAGGTGTAGGGTTTAATGTTAATTGCTTTTGGTTCTTAGAATGAAAATGACTAAATTGTAGTTATGGTCGGATGACCGGAAATGCTTTCGACCCATTGCCTCTGCCTAGTGGTGTTCCAGTGCCCATGTGCTTTTGCGGCGATCCTTGCAAGGTAGCCAAGTCTGATGAAGAGGACACGTATAGGTAGAGGTATTGGATGTGTTCCAATTTTACGTTTGAGCCTACACTTTGTTAGCACCGCATTAACAAGATGGTAAGGAATTGATGTTTGTGTCATATGACATCTTGCATGATTTTTTTTGTTTTGTAATAATTGCATTTTTTGCAAACCCCTCCACCGCTCTGTGATTTTGATCAGTGGATCGACACTGAGATCAAGCCTAAAGACAAGGAATGGATGCATAAACTATTGCGGTGGGAGGCAGAGGACGAGGAGATGATGGAGAAGAGATGCGGAGAGGAGGCTACAAAAAAGGAGCATAAGGAAGAGGAGGAAAGGAGGCGTGTTGCTACATACAGGGAAAGAGAGGATAAAAAGAAGCTTGAGCGTGCACGCCGAGCGAAGCTGCCGGTAAAGAAAACCCAACACTATAGAGCCCTAGCTGTACTGACCCGCCTGGTCCCAGTCAGTGAGGCAGTGGACCCACATCCACGATGTAGTGTCACCCATGGCGTAGGGGAAGAGAACGCAGGCAAATAGGTGTAGGATCCACGCCCTGCAGTTGTACCCAACTGTCTCCTCATCTGCCTCCTCGGGGCACTATACGAACTCTTGCCGGAGCCAGGAGATTAGAACTCCAGAATTGCGAGCCCCTTGCTCGCCAACCTCACGCCCAAGGAAGGCCTCTACTCGTGCTCCCCAACCTTCTGACCTGCACTGCCTAGTCACTGCGTTGCCATGAATCCTCAAACCTAGCATCTTCTGACAGTCGTGGAGCGTGACTGTCATCTCTCCGAAAGGTAAGTGAAAGCTGTGAGTCTCCGGCCGCCACCTACATTTTAGACAAAGCAAGATTACATGTCAAAAAGGCAAGCGCATGAACAAATGGCCATGAATGGAGGCAATGATTGAAGATAATACCTATCAACCAACGCAGTTATGGCCGCTGCGTTGCCATGAAAAGAGATGACATCTAGGCCAGCTCTTTGTAGGAAAGGAGTGTACCTATTATCATACTGCATGTCCAAGAACCCATTGTGGGTTCTAGGACGAAGGAGCGGAAGGTCCTGCATGGAATAAAACATAGTCTCCCGTTACTTCACGAACACATGTACGCTCACAAAAATTTGAACAAGACGTATAGATTATTACCTGCCCCTCCGCTATGAGACGTCCTTGGTGGGTCTCCTCGTATGTCGGGTCGAGCAGGTGGAATTGCGCCATCCAACAAAAAAGTCAATGAAATAGAAATTCAATATACAATGAAATATAAACTAAGAAATTTACAAGTAATTAACACAATTACAAGCATAAATTGAGACATGCATAATTAATTGAATGAATACGACAAGTATGAAATAATAAAAACAACCAATAGTCGCACCTCACTAATCTGCCAATGGCAAGTGCATGAATTGTGGCCCAGTCTATCACACTTGCCGCACTCGTACTGCTCGAGGTCAGTAAGAAATGGGGTTCCTCTCCCACGCATCGTTCTTCGGTATCTGATCCATAACCATCTTGTGCCTCGTCCTCTTCCTTGATCCACGCTTGTTCCAACGGTAAGCTGGATTCGCAATGTACTTTGGCCCATCATATGGAGGCCACTCTCCAAGGTCCCAAAAAGGCATGAAGCGGGGGCTCCAAGTGTGCATAAGCGTGTCGACACTTAACTCATGAGGTATCCTGCTCTTGATATTAAAGTTGCGATGCCTAGCTGCTGCCACCAAATAAGAACATAGAAAGTGGTACTACCTTGGTTTACCACAAGTGCATGTGAAATCTTGGAGGATTACCACATGCATCCTCGACTCTCAAACCTCACCGTCGGATGTTGTACCGCCCCTATGCTGAACCTAATAAGTCCCTGTGGCGTGGTCAAAACATGTAACCTCATGTGTGCCAGCCCTTTAATTTGCCTTCTCTAGGTGTTCCTTTGGTTTTGGAGCCCATATCTCTCCATCACTCCGCAACTTCAATGCATGGACATGTCTATCGTTGATCCAGGCAACAAGCTTGTAGAAGGTGAATTGAATGATTGCATTCATGGGCATGCCACGTATCCTCAGTAGCAACTTATTGAATGACTCCGCCATGTTGCTGCACTGAAACTCGTACCTCCATCCACCGATGTCGTGAGCTCTTGTCCATTTCACCAAATCCCTCATCAAACCTGTGAGCCATTGTCTACATTCTGCATCTGATGCGGTTCTGACCTGCTCCAACTTTTTCTAAAAGTACTTGTCCTCAAGCTATCGAGCAGCCTCCTGGAACAGATCAAAGTTATCCTTCACACCATCCTTCCGGAGTAGAT